CCCATCCCATCTGGTTCTTGAATCTGCTCCATCTGGTGCTGAATCTACTGGTGTTCCATCTGAATCTACCGGTGTCCCATCTGGTTCTGAATCTGCTCCATCTGGTGCTGAATCTACTGGTGTTCCATCTGAATCCACTGGTGCTCCATCCGGTTCTGAATCTGCTCCAGTTCCATCTGGTTCTGAATCTGCTCCATCTGGTTCCGAAACTTCACCAGTTCCATCTGGTTCTGAATCTGCTCCATCCGGTGCTGAATCTACTGGTGTTCCATCTGAATCTGCTCCAGTTCCATCTGGTTCTGAATCTGCTCCATCTGGTGCTGAATCTACTGGTGTTCCATCTGAATCCACTGGTGCTCCATCCGGTTCTGAATCTGCTCCAGTTCCATCTGGTTCTGAATCTACTACTCCAACTGGTGGATTGTCTACTTCCTACAGTACTACTACTGATTTCACTACCACTGTTATTACTACTACTGACTGTGGTCATCATGGCTGTTCTGAAACTACCATCACCACTGGTCTTACTGTGATTACTGTTACTACCTCAGAAACCGTGACCAGCTATACCACCTACTGTCCAATTCCATCAACTGAAACAAGTGTAGAATCTACCGGTGCTCCATCTAGCTCTGAATCTACTGGTGTCCCATCTGGTTCCGAAACTGCTCCATCTGGTGCTGAATCTACTGGTGTTCCATCTGAATCTACCGGTGTCCCATCTGGTTCTGAATCTGCTCCATCTGGTGCTGAATCTACTGGTGTTCCATCTGAATCCACTGGTGCTCCATCCGGTTCTGAATCTGCTCCAGTTCCATCTGGTTCTGAATCTGCTCCATCTGGTGCTGAATCTACTGGTGTTCCATCTGAATCCACTGGTGCTCCATCCGGTTCTGAATCTGCTCCAGTTCCATCTGGTTCTGAATCTGCTCCATCTGGTGCTGAATCTACTGGTGTTCCATCTGAATCCACTGGTGCTCCATCCGGTTCTGAATCTGCTCCAGTTCCATCTGGTTCTGAATCTGCTCCATCTGGTTCCGAAACTTCACCAGTTCCATCTGGTTCTGAATCTGCTCCATCTGGTGCTGAATCTACTGGTGTTCCATCTGAATCTACAGGTGTTCCATCTGGTTCTGAATCTGCTCCATCTCGTGCTGAATCTACTGGGTGTTCCATCTGAATCTACTGGTGCTCCATCTGGTTCTGAATCTGCTCCAGTTCCATCTGGTTCTGAATCTACTACTTCTACTTGTTGGATTGGCTACTTTCCTACAGTACTACTACTGATTTCACTACCCCTGTTTATACTTACTACTGATTGGTGGTCATCATGGCTGTCTGGAACTACCCATCACAACTGGGACTTACTGTGATTACTGTTTACTACCTCGGAAACCGTGGACCAGTTATACCACCCTACTGGTCCAATTCATTCAACTGAAACAAGTTGTAGAAATCTACCGGTGCTCCTTCTCAGCTTTGAAATTCACTGGGTGTCCCTTCTGGGTTCCAAAATG